ATTCTGGGATTCCTTTTGATGTACTATTTTCATTTTTTATGCAGAGCTCTTCTCCCACTCCCCCTGGAGGCCTCGAACGCTCCCACTTCCCTCTGCTGGTGTTATGACTGACTGCAGAGGAGCGTGGGTGTCAGTATGTGCTCACATGGACCTTCATGGCCTCGTTGTTCAGGCGTGACCCTCAGCTGCTTGTTGTCCTGCCAGGCGACTTCATTCTCCTCCTCAACATTTATTTTCCTTTCCTCTGCAAACAAGTGTTGGTTTTACCCGTGATTGCGCCTTAGATTCGCAGCACTCTTTGAAACTGGAGCCACTTCCTCTGTTATCCATGGCTTTGTGTGTGAGCAGTGATGCCACATTCACTATGGCTTTGTTATTAGTGTTAGTATGAATGCATCTGGAGGGGAAACAGGAAACCAGCCCATTAAATGTGCTCCGAGTGCAAAGTGAAGCGCTGATAAGTGATACAGAGATAACTGAGCCCCCCGATGGGGATTGATATACAAAATGAACTGTCTCTATTTAACAAATGTTAAAAAAAGGTCAAAAGCGCCCATGCCAGGAAACGATGCACAATTATGTCTGGATATAAATTGCTCAGTTCCATTTTCTCACTTTTATTTTCCTTTTATGTTATTTCTTATAACAACAGTTCAATCCTGTTTATGTTTGCATCGTTCCCTACTGTTCAGCAATGACTGCTGTCTATATTGATTATAGTCTTTATGTTCCTTTTGCAGAGTCCAGGTGCAAGCCAATGTTATGCAGTGAGTCTAACCAGAAATGCATACACGTATAACTCTAATAGATCTTTCTTAACAGGATTCATTTCTTGAGCTCTCTGAGCACTTTCTATGTGCGTGAAAGTTGAAAATACACAATAAAAATAAACACTGGCAGTCTTCAAATGTGCTCCAGGTATTAAGACTTGTTGCAGAGCAAATATGAATTGGTTTGTGAAAGTGTCCAGATGATGAGGGCTTTATTTATTCTGAGGGGCAGCTCTGCAGCAGCCTGGGAGGCAGCCAGACGTCCAGTCAGCACAGCGTCTCTCTGAAGGTTTCTACATGTGGCGCACATCTGCGTCCAGCGCATAAAACCGCCTCGCTGACACCCGTTTATACAGGAGCAAATGTCAGTGTCTTATGTGTGCAAGTTGTTGACGATAAATCATCTTTCCCCCTTCCTTGGTAATAAAGCATACAAATCTGGCTGTGGTCCTGCCTGTCAGTGGAAGTAAGATGAATGTGTGTTCATCAGGAAGGAGGGAGACAGTGAGAGACAGTGTTCATTTGAAGATCGTTGTGTAGTGCATAATCTGTAGGGAGTAACTTCACCAGATGTTCTCAAATGAGGTTTTCTTCTCCCACTTGTGACAGAAACAATCTTGCAGGAGTGAAATCTATCAACAAAGCAGCTTTTTCTCCCTTGTATTTGTGTTGGACTGAAGAAAAGAGGGAGTATGTGATCTGTTAAAACCTCCTGTAATCAACCTGTAACAAACTGGCTCCTATTTTGTAACCATATGGCAAAATGTTGCTCAATGTAAGGCTCACATTACAGATTATACCGTTACCTTTCATGTGATGCTAACCTTTAGTTTGACAGTATGAGGTCACACTGCTCACACCTCAGTGAAACAGTCTAAAAAGGGAACGGTGTAACCCATTTCTTTACATCTTGAAAGGCTTTCTACCGCCCTCTTTTCCATGCTTCACATTGGCAAAAGACTTTTACACATAAACCAGACTGTCAGTCGCCTTGATTGATTTTAAAGTTGAATTTCTTCCAGTAGATTTCCCAAGCTGAACGGCGTTAATTTGACTGCATGTTAAAAGATTTCGTTGGGTGGGTTGGTCACAGGAGAGCCAGTTGGTAATGAACGGTTATTGTAAATCAAATGTCTAAGACTTGTCAGAGGTTTGTTTTATAAGCACAGAGGCCTAAAATAACTCGTTAATTATATGAGTCACCTTGCCACTCAGGAAAAACTGATTTCTCTACTCCATCTTTGCAAAAACACATTCACAGTGTGGCAATGTGATATTTTTGGAGCACGAGGGGAAAAAACCCCACTCCCTGTCATATTTAATATTTTGTTCATCTGCCAAAGTAAAGGTTTGACAAGAAGGAACGCAGTCTTTAGCACTGAAAGGTCCCTGCTAGACGCATTGCACATACACAGGTGAACAAAAAACAATTAAATCTAAATATACAGCACATGCAGATTCACATTCAAACGCTGTCTGCTCCCCCCCTTCAGGTGTGTGCTCTCTTTGACACAGTCTGATGCCATGCAGCGCCACATTTAGCTCTGCAGCCGAGCAGAGCACAGTGAGGAGGTTATTAATGGCCTTCCTTATTTTAAACGACAGTCTGAAAACACGGTGCAGACCCTGCGAGCTGCGAGCGTCGTTCTTCCCATCTGTCTTCACGCCACTCCGTCTCCTCGGACCTAATGGACCCGTGTCGCTTTGCTGCGAATGCAACCTCGTCTGTCTGGTGGATCACATGTGAAGGCACCCAACGAAAGACGTGAGGCACATTAAATATTAAGTCTTGTAGAATTTTTTTGACAGTGTCCAAAAGTTGTAGAAAGTCATACTACATATATACGGCGCTAGTTCCAGTGTTAGTGGAGCCACCAGAAGTAGGACCAAATGCTGAGGAAGACATTTTTAGGAGACACAATTGTATCAATTAACTTTCATTAAGTTAAAACACGCTTTGAAAGGATTACATTGTAAGGCACAACCCTAACCCTAAAGCACAACCTGGTTTATCGTCTATTTTACTCCAAAGGAACCAATAAGTAACGCAATCATGCTTAACTGAAGAAGACTTGAAACTGGAGATTGAGACCATAAACTCACAAGAAAATTGTAAACTAAGGTAAAAGATCAAGTGAGAAGATGTCTAATTTCTTCACTATCCTCCTCATCTTCTTGCCTTTCATTTTTCGGAGCCCTTGAACGCCACCATCACCACATCCTGCTGTGAGTTTTGACGCCTGTCTGATGTATGTTCGCCTCTCCTTTCTCTCACAGGACCGAGCTGCACATGGGCGGCCTATCGCTCACTCTGCAGACCCTTCTCTGTCAGTGCTCGGCCAATCACGAGAGATCCGGTTTACTTCAAAGGTGTGGAACAGAAATTAGTGCCCACTCGAATGTGTGAGCATGCACACTGATTTATACATGATTTTGCAACTTAACTAAGGTATAAGTTGTCAACCTCATGCACACTCACACACAGATGTCTGTCTTTTCTCACGTTTCCATTGCAAGTACATTTACCCAAGCTAATACGTGTTGTACCTTTACTTGAGAAAGCTTTTGAATGCTACTTCTACTTGCATTTGTGTTTTTACTCGAGTTAAAGGTCTAAATACTTCACCCACCGACCAATAAGTAGTTGTCCATGTGGTGCAAGGGTCAGTGTGCATGTAGAATGTACTGTCCCTCATGTGCAGTTAAACCTGCCAATGCAGAAACATTTAAGTGATCACTATTCCCCTCATGATCACCAATGAAACCTAGAGAATAACTCAGGAGGATATATTGTGTCACCGGGACAAACACTGTGTACTTAACCCATCATTTAAGATTTACTAGCCCTCATCTGGGGAATAACACGGACTGGCAGCCTGAGTCTGGACCTCATGCCGCCTGCAGACATCATAACAGGCCGGATATGGAGATGGTGGAACCATTACAGATCGGTCATTTCGCTCCATTGCTGCTCAGAAGCAAATGAGGAGTGACGACTCTGCTCCCTGGTGACGGACATTTCAAATCAAACGCTTCCGCTCTCCATGGTTTGAATGAATATGGATATTGGGCAGGAGGAGAGGGGGGGGGGGGGGGACACATCCTGTGAGACTTTGGGAGTACATCTTCTTCCGCAAATGGAGCAATGGATCTGGAAGTCTGATATATTTCCAGATTGGTGCTTTAATGTGAAAGCACATGAAATATTCGAGAACAGGAATATGGAGCACCGCCCTAACGCCGCCGCCGCCGCCAGAGTGACAGCAGGAAATCCAATACTAACAAACGTTTGATGGAGAAATTTGACAATTTTAACGCTGCTTTTTGCATTTCATGGTTTGCATGACGATAAAGCAGGTCCTTGAAGAAAAGTGTTTATTTATTGTGATAAAGCCTAATAGATGTTTAGTTTTAAAAGCAAGACAAATTGCAAAAGGTAGGTATTGGGCAGGAGGGAAGGGGGGGACATCCTGTGAGACTTAGTGGATGCTTCTTCTTCCTCAATGGATCTGGAAGTCTGGGGATTTGGTTCAGTCTTCATCCACAGAACGTACCCCTTCAGTGACTACCCGAGGTACTTTGATCTTTGGCTCTGCGCGCTTATCCACCGGTTTATAGCTGATGTGAAATGAGTCATTTCAAATGGGGTTTTAGAGCAGATTGATGCTTTAATATGAGAGCATTATGAACCATATCAGATGAAGTGTTCAAGGACCATTGACAGCCTTCTGGTGATGCGGCTCCCTCCTTTCAGAGTGCCAATATTCAATCATTTTTAGATATGTCATGTATGAGTAGCTTTTTCAGTTTTAGACTCTAAAGAGAGCATTTCCTGTCAAAGCAGAAAGTCATCCCAGATTTCTCTTTGACGGCGGTTGAGGTGAATTGAGTCTGACGCAGCGCGGTGTTTGAGGTCGGGATAAATCAGCACAAGTAAACACAAGTTGTGATCGTGTTACTCACATGAAATATTCGAGAATAGGAATAAGGAGCACCGCCCTAACGCTGCAACCGCCACATTTACAGCAGGAAATCCAACACTAACAAAAGTTTGAAGGAGAAATTTGACAATTTTAAAGCTACATTTGATGGTAGGCGAGTTTCGAGGAGCAGTGACTCTGACGCAGGTCCTTGAAGAAAAGGGTTTATTTATTGTGATAAAGCCAAATAGATGTTTTAGTTTGAAAAGCAAGTTATTTTAATAGCACAAACACATGTCTGCAAGAGAAGTGAGGTGGCTGTAATATTTTATTGCAAAATTGACTTTTCCCAACATCTCGAGGTAGGAAAATATGTAAAATGCAGACAAAAAAACAATGAATTGCCCATTAAAGCTGGAAACAATATGAACATTATACCGATTAAAACTCATTACCCTACACTGTATGTGATACAACTGTTGCATAGTATCGCTTCTGCTTACTTTTGTTAAATACAAATGAATAGATATGACTTGAAAACATACTTTGGAAATAGAGTGAGTCCCCGACCTGCAGGGAGTTTAAACTAAACCACATTATCTGTAAAACAAACAAATCCCAACACACTGGCAATTACAAAACACATATAGCAGCATCCTTTATAAATCCTGTTGATATAAAGCATTATCATATAAAAATAAATGCATAACAATTTGTTCGCCAGTTAAAAAAGTACAAAATATGACAACAAACCCCCCCGGAGCACCAGTACAAATGTGCCAGACTTAATAAAATAATAATGTAATTCCTCGTTAAGTGCCTTTATAAAGTTATATCGTATTATTTTCTATAATCATACACAGCTGTTTGTTAGAATGGCAAGGAAATGGCACAAAGACAAACACGTGTGATATTATTTACAAGTCTGTACAGCGAGATATTTACAGGTAAAAGCGTTTCCTGCTGGAGAGGACAATTTGAAAACTCAATGCAGGTGACAGATGTGTGTGTTTTTGTGTGTGTGTGTCAAGTTTCCTTTGCTAGATTTACGCTGTCATGGTAACGACCTCCGACCCCTGGTGTGAAGCAGAGCCAGAAAACATTTCAGTCGTTGTGTTTTGACAACAGGGCTTGATTGGCGCCTTTTCAACAGCACAAGTGCGCTTTCTGTTTTTGTGAAGCCGCTCTCATGGGGTTCTCAAATCACGGCGAACACCCGGAAAGCTTTTCCTCCGGGGGGGTTTTGGAGGCTGAGGAAGAAGAGGAGAGAGAAGGAGAAGGAGTCAGTGTGTGTCCGATACATGCAGGTGGGAAGTAGTGGAGTACAAATACTTCGTTACTGTACTTAAGTATATTTTTCTGGTATCAGTACTTTACTCCACTACTTATTTTTCTGACGACTTCTTACATGTTGAACCCAAATACCTGTACTTTCTACTTCTTACATGTTGAACTCAAATACCTGTACTTTCTACTTCTTACATGTTGAACACAAATACCTGTACTTTCTACTTCTTACATGTTGAACCCAAATACCTGTACTTTCTACTTCTTACATGTTGAACACAAATACCTGTACTTTCTACTTCTTACATGTTGAACACAAATACCTGTACTTTCTACTTCTTACATGTTGAACACAAATACTTGTACTTTCTACTTCTTACATGTTGAACACAAATACCTGTACTTTCTACTTCTTACATGTTGAACACAAATACCTGTACTTTCTACTTCTTACATGTTGAACCCAAATACCTGTACTTTCTACTTCTTACATGTTGAACTCAAATACCTGTACTTTCTACTTCTTACATGTTGAACACAAATACTTGTACTTTCTACTTCTTACATGTTGAACACAAATACCTGTACTTTCTACTTCTCACATGTTGAACTCAGATACCTGTACTTTCTACTTCTCACATGTTGAACTCAAATACCAGTACTTTCTACTTCTTACATGTTGAACCCAAATACCTGTACTTTCTACTTCTCACATGTTGAACTCAAATACCTGTACTTTCTACTTCTTACATGTTGAACTCAAATACCTGTACTTTCTACTTCTTACATGTTGAACCCAAATACCTGTACTTTCTACTTCTCACATGTTGAACTCAAATACCTGTACTTTCTACTTCTTACATGTTGAACTCAAATACCTGTACTTTCTACTTCTTACATGTTGAACCCAAATACCTGCACTTTCTACTTCTCACATGTTGAACACAAATACCTGTACTTTCTACTTCTTACATGTTGAACACAAATACCTGTACTTTCTACTTCTTACATGTTGAACCCAAATACCTGTACTTTCTACTTCTTACATGTTGAACACAAATACCTGTACTTTCTACTTCTTACATGTTGAACTCAAATACCTGTACTTTCTACTTCTTACATGTTGAACTCAAATACCTGTACTTTCTACTTCTCACATGTTGAACTCAAATACCTGCACTTTCTACTTCTCACATGTTGAACACAAATACCTGTACTTTCTACTTCTTACATGTTGAACCCAAATACCTGTACTTTCTACTTCTTACATGTTGAACACAAATACCTGTACTTTCTACTTCTCACATGTTGAACACAAATACCTGTACTTTCTACTTCTTACATGTTGAACTCAAATACCTGTACTTTCTACTTCTTACATGTTGAACCCAAATACCTGTACTTTCTACTTCTTACATGTTGAACCCAAATACCTGTACTTTCTACTTCTTACATGTTGAACTCAAATACCTGTACTTTCTACTTCTTACATGTTGAACTCAAATACCTGTACTTTCTACTTCTTACATGTTGAACACAAATACCTGTACTTTCTACTTCTTACATGTTGAACTCAAATACCTGTACTTTCTACTTCTCACATGTTGAACTCAAATACCTGTACTTTCTACTTCTCTCATTTTCCAAACAGCTGGTTCCTTTAGTCTGAATGTGTGTTTGGTGCGTGATCATTATTCTTTAGAGTCATTGCGTGCCTATTGATTTGAACACGATCCGTGTATCCATCACTTCCTGGTCTTCTCTAAAGAAGAGGGACCAATGGAAACGTTGTCATGTTGCCGTTGTTCAGCATGGAAACATTCATTAGCTAACAATGACATTATTGTTCTATTGATATAAAGGGAGGTCAGGTACTCTTTAAAACAGCTGCTAGTTATGGGTACTTTTTACTGAAGTACATTTCAAAGCCTCTTTACTTTCACTTGAGTAAAGAAGTTTAGTCAGTACTTCTACTTTTACCAGAGTATTTTTAAACATGAGTATCTGTACTTCTACTAGAGTAAAGTGTGTGTACTTTTGCCATCTCTGGTGATACGCTGGGAAGAAGCAGAGAGTAGGGATCTCAAATGAAGGTGGGAGGAAATTCCAAGAGATCTCCTAAAACAAATATTAAAACGTCTAATAAAATGCATCAAAGGACCGGTCAATTCTTCACGATGTATCAAGTCCAAGGTGCCAGGTAGGGGTTAGAGTGAAAGGGTCACTTCTATTTTTACCAGAGTATTTTTTAAACATGAGTATCTGTACTTCTACTTGAGTAAAGGATGTGTGTACTTTTGCCATCTCTGCCGATACCAAACATGTCCGGGTGTTTGCAGAGAGACGAGGAGGACATACACACACAAACAGAAAGACTTCAGGTTTCTACGGAGAAACGTCATTGTGACACGGGGATGACAGATAGGACACACACAGATAGAGGTCACGACTCCCCGAGAAAACAGATAAACCTCCCGTCTTTCCACACACACAGGGGACCTTCATGTGTTAATCCAACAGAGACAGACATGTTGTGAAGTTGAAGGGGACAGATAAATGATGAGCAGATACTAACAGACGTCAGGCCTCTCAGCGAGTGACAGAGACAGATGTGGAGAGGGAGGAAAGCCACAGAATAAGTGTGTCCTCTAAACATCGACCAAAACAATGCAAAGTATGTGCAGTGTAATGTCTCACAACACTACAGCAGTATGTGGGTCACTGAAGCTTTAAACCGAGGCTGGTACGGACCTGTAACCTTAATACTGCGGTACAGCACATGTGCTCACTTTATTGGAATTAGCAAAGTCTTTCCAAGGCAAGCACAAGCTCCCTTCTTTGTTAAAAATGTATATGTTGTTCCCTTTCAGCCACCAAGGACTCATTATGTAGGAAGTTAGTGACAAACGTCTTTTATTGATGATCAGGAAACACATTTAAGGATTATTTATTTATGTCTCTTAATTTCCTTGATGTAGAAAAGTTCCTAGTGAGGTAAATGTTTTTCACATGTATTTGAATTGGATAGATACTTTATTGCCTTGTCTGAGCTTTTTCAAATGTCAAAAGCCACCTAATAAACCAATGATGTCTCCTGAGTTAACAGAGGAAGACATGCAAATATAGAAAAATAGCAAATAGCAAAAATATTCCTCTATGCCGACGATACTCTGCTTTATTTTAAATCCTCCCATGTCCTACTTCCTTCCTAGCAGGTTTGACTTTGTGTGTTAGTGTCCCGTTGTCGTTCAATAGTACTGTGTGTCTATAAAGGAGGATGTGTTCCATATATTATATCATTTTAAAACCTCACAAAGCTTAGCCCTTCTTGTTCACATCCTTAACATCTTACTGTAAAGCATCACCTTGGTCACCATAGCTTCAGTGATGAGAAGGTTTATTCTGGATCCCTTACCTCTCTGAAGAAATGCCATTTTGATGTGAGGCGATGTAATTTTTCCGCTTATCCACCGGCATCACGTCGATGTAACCCCCGAGATCGTTCCGGAGGACTCCAGCGTGGACCGCTGCTCGGCAAATACTGGACTTCTACAGAAGAAGAAGAGGAAATAAGTATATAACAGAAAGGTCTCTAAATTCATGGAACAATTGATGATTTTTTAAGATAGGGACTTACATCAGAGTATATTCTGGTGCCGATTACTCTGGATATGTGAGGGTTCTCCTCTAAACAGTTCCTCGGGCAGTATAACCTAAAAGTAGAACAGTTGATAGTTAATGAACTTGTTAATGAGGCTGGAGGAATTAAGGTTCGAGGCAGATTTAGAGCTTCATACCGCGGACAGTGTTTTGCAGGTCTTTGGTACGAACACATCGGTGCAACTGTGGTTTCGCATGTGATGGCTTTGACTGTAAGAAAAGGTGCCGCAGCACATCTTATAATGAGGTATTTCACACAATATGTGACATATCTATAATTACAGTGTCTCATTATAGTGAGACTAACCTGCTACTCTGGAAACGGTGAAGGAATTGGCACTGAGATACTTCCTGTCAAGAGAAAACACAACACTGACATGAGACTCCATTCATCGTTAGAATATTTCACCAAATATCATCAGTATATGTTTCTAACGAGTCTCACCCGAGAGACTGGACTCCGTTCTTGTTGGATTTGATGAAAAAGTCCTTCCTGCCTTGTCTTGTCACATCTATCCATCCCCCGTCATTATCTATGACTCCTGCATGTAAGCCGGCTCTGCACACGCTGGATTGCTGCAAGTGGAATCATTTTATTGACGATATCATTTGCATAAAAGGCCTTGTGCAGTGACAGATGTGAGCGATGTCTCAGGGACACTTTGACAGGACACACCGCTGCTAATTGGCTTAATATCGACTCACCATTTCATAGTAAACTGTCCCAACTACTTTCCCTGTAGCATCAAGGCACCCGGCTGGACACTCGTATCTGTGGAGGAATATGAAGTTAATAATAAATAATAATAATAATTTGATTTATATAGCACACTTTAAAGGTGGGGTAGGTAATTTTGGAGAAAGCAGCTCGAGTGCGCTAGAATTAGAAAATACACAACCGGAAAAAATCTGCCACTTCCTCACAGAGCCCCTCCTCCAACACACCTTATTATACATCCATGCAACACACACGAACGCGCACATGACCAATGAGGGCACGAGATCAGTGTGTGCCCAGATGAAAGGCTGACAGGCAGGTAGGCCATCCAGTTACTTTAGCCGGCTCATATGATTGGTCGTGCTTTTTACAGCACCACGGCTTCCACTGATGACATTTTTTTATGGATTTTTTGTCAAAGCACTTCAGATATTCATGGCTATCGGGATGTTAAGAGCATTCCATGGAATATAACAAAAAGTGTATCTCGAGCCGGTTTCTCAAACTTACCTACCCCTCCTTTAAAGACAAACGTCATCTCAAGGTGCTTCACAAAGCTAAAAGTTAACTGCAAACTTTATTTGTTGGCGTTGTTTTTATACTATTTCCTCGGAGCTGTACCTGTTACATGGCGTTCCTTTACACTGATCTCGAAGCTTGGTGTCACAGGTCACCAGTTGAGCTGAAAAACACAAAATAAAGCCTTTTTTCATTCCCCCTGCAGGAATCAACATGCAGGAATGTCTCGTTTCTAAAAGCCACAGTTGAATGACACCCAGTGATTGTTGTGATGCTTCAAGAAACCAGAGAGAAGAATTCCTGCGACAGGGTTCAGGGTGGTCAGCGTTTCTGGAGGAAGCGTCTCAGCTTACAACCAGAGCCTGTTTCTGAGCGGAGAGGAAGCCATTTAAAAACCGCACGGAGCGCCTCTCACCCCTCTCCGTCGGCCAACAGCAAACACACACTCTGGAGATCATGCTAAAACCAGGGGTGGGAAGTAGTGGAGTACAAATACTTCGTTACTGTATTTAAGTACATTTTTCTGGTATCAGTACTTTACTCACTACTTATTTTTCTGACCACTTTTTACTTTGACTTCTCTCATGTTGAACACAAATACCTGTACTTTCTACTTCTTACATGTTGAACTCAAATACCTGTACTTTCTACTTCTTACATGTTGAACTCAAATACCTGTACTTTCTACTTCTTACATGTTGAACACAAATACCTGTACTTTCTACTTCTTACATGTTGAACTCAAATACCTGTACTTTCTACTTCTTACATGTTGAACACAAATACCTGTACTTTCTACTTCTTACATGTTGAACTCAAATACCTGTACTTTCTACTTCTTACATGTTGAACTCAAATACCTGTACTTTCTACTTCTCTCATGTTGAACTCAAATACCTGTACTTTCTACTTCTTACATGTTGAACACAAATACCTGTACTTTCTACTTCTTACATGTTGAACTCAAATACCTGTACTTTCTACTTCTTACATGTTGAACACAAATACCTGTACTTTCTACTTCTCTCATGTTGAACTCAAATACCTGTACTTTCTACTTCTTACATGTTGAACACAAATACCTGTACTTTCTACTTCTTACATGTTGAACACAATACCTGTACTTTCTACTTCTTACATGTTGAACACAAATACCTGTACTTTCTACTTCTTACATGTTGAACACAAATACCTGTACTTTCTACTTCTTACATGTTGAACACAAATACCTGTACTTTCTACTTCTTACATGTTGAACACAAATACCTGTACTTTCTACTTCTTACATGTTGAACTCAAATACCTGTACTTTCTACTTCTTACATGTTGAACACAAATACCTGTACTTTCTACTTCTTACATGTTGAACTCAAATACCTGTACTTTCTACTTCTTACATGTTGAACTCAAATACCTGTACTTTCTACTTCTTACATGTTGAACACAAATACCTGTACTTTCTACTTCTTACATGTTGAACACAAATACCTGTACTTTCTACTTCTCACATGTTGAACACAAATACCTGTACTTTCTACTTCTTACATGTTGCACTCAAATACCTGTACTTTCTACTTCTTACATGTTGAACACAAATACCTGTACTTTCTACTTCTTACATGTTGAACACAAATACCTGTACTTTCTACTTCTTACATGTTGAACACAAATACCTGTACTTTCTACTTCTTACATGTTGAACTCAAATACCTGTACTTTCTACTTCTTACATGTTGAACTCAAATACCTGTACTTTCTACTTCTTACATGTTGAACTCAAATACCTGTACTTTTTACTTCTCACATGTTGAACACAAATACCTGTACTTTCTACTTCTTACATGTTGAACACAAATACCTGTACTTTCTACTTCTTACATGTTGAACTGAAATACCTGTACTTTCTACTTCTTACATGTTGAACCCAAATACCTGTACTTTCTACTTCTTACATGTTGAACTCAAATACCTGTACTTTCTACTTCTTACATGTTGAACACAAATACCTGTACTTTCTACTTCTTACATGTTGAACCCAAATACCTGTACTTTCTACTTCTTACATGTTGAACCCAAATACCTGTACTTTCTACTTCTCACATGTTGAACCCAAATACCTGTACTTTCTACTTCTCACATGTTGAACACAAATACCTGTACTTTCTACTTCTCACATGTTGAACTCAAATACCTGTACTTTCTACTTCTTACATGTTGAACCCAAATACCTGTACTTTCTACTTCTCACATGTTGAACCCAAATACCTGTACTTTCTACTTCTCACATGTTGAACACAAATACCTGTACTTTCTACTTCTCACATGTTGAACTCAAATACCTGTACTTTCTACTTCTTACATGTTGAACCCAAATACCTGTACTTTCTACTTCTTACATGTTGAACACAAATACCTGTACTTTCTACTTCTTACACTTTGAACACAAATACCTGTACTTTCTACTTCTAACATGTTGAACTCAAATACTTGTACTTTCTACTTCTCTCATTTTCCAAACAGCTGGTTCCTTTAGTCTGAATGTGTGTTTGATGCGTGATCATTATTCTTTAGAGTCATTGCGTGCCTATTGATTTGAACACGATCCGTGTATCCATCATTTCCTGGTCTTCTCTAAAGAAGAGGGACCAATGGAAACGTTGTCATGTTGCCGTTGTTCAGCATGGAAACATTCATTAGCTAACAATGACATTATTGTTCTATTAATATAAAGGGAGGTCAGGTACTCTTTAAAGCAGCTGCTAGTTATGGGTACTTTCTACTGAAGTACACTTCAAAGCCTCTTTACTTTCACTTGAGTAAAGAAGTTTAGTCAGTACTTCTACTTTCACCAGAGTATTTTTAAACACGAGTATCTGTACTTCTACTTCAGTAAAGGATGTGTGTACTTTTGCTATCTCTGGTAATAACACACTGCTGCAGAGAGTGACTTGCAATATTAAGTAGTAATGCTACAGAACATCAATATTTCCGGTTAAAGCATATTTTTTTGCTTTGTTTTTTACCCTCACCTCCCAACCAGGTCCCGCAACCCCCATTTTAAGTTGAAACCAGACCCAGAATAAACAGTTAAATGGCAGCTTACACATCTGCTGTGTGTTGACCACCTCGTTCCTCAGCAGGTCCTCTGTGGGGGGGTCCGGGGCGGGGACATTTTGGGGGGGGTCCGGTTTGGGGGCCCTAGGTCGAGGTTTCTGTGGAGAACGAGGGGGGGTCTCCGGCTCGATGAAGTTGTTTTCTTCCGTTTCCTCTTGTGCGCCGTAGGAGCTGTCATCTACAGGAAGAGTCACAGAGGCAGGGGACAGTTAGTATATTATCCTCCAGGCCTTTCTACTATATAATTATATCACACACACACACACACACACACACACACACACACACACACACACACACACACACACACACACACACACACACACACACACACACACACACACACACACACACACACACACACACACACACACACACACACACACACACACACACACAACACACACACACACACACACACACACACCACACACACACACACACACACACACACACACACACGCACGCGTTACCTTTGTAGCACAGGTTTTCCTTGCAGCCTCCTCCATAGCTGGGAGGACAGGCGGAGCAGGGGGTCCCATGTTTGTATGGAGAGTGCCCCCACCAGTTTCCCCTGATCAGATCACATGACAAGCAAGGGTTAATGAACAGAAGACATACTACTAGTCGATTGAAGCAATACATTCCTTAATTTGTCATCTGTTGACCGAAAAAGCTGCAAGAAATCTGTTCTTCCTTCGTGAAGCACCGTCATTTAATGTGACAGTTATTTATTGGATACTTAAGCTTTGATTTCTCATCTCTGACTCTTGGTAGCCAGGGGCGGATGCAATGCATTCTGGTACATAAAGTAGAGGCACTTTCTTAATGGCAGTATAGCACACTATGAGGAATTTCACTTTCACATTTCTTTCAAATCGCCTTTGTGATTGACAATTTAGCAGCAAATGATGATGAGTTATTCTGCCTGTCTATCAGTCATGCAGCCACGAAGCAACATCAAAATACATCTTCTTACTTTGGTGAATAGTTGCAGACGAGATAGACGGCTTTGGCCCAGATCTGTCCCCAAACATTCATGTTGTAACACGTGTTGATGGCACAGCCGATCCGACTGCTGGTGGCCCAGACCAGCTGCAAAACAGAGAAGAACAACTGATCATTAGGTCTTAAAGGTCTCCTATTATACTGTTTTTCATCAATATATTACAGGTCTCAGATATATACAGAACCTGTCTCTGATTGGCTAGAAAAAGAAAAGACATGAAAAAGTGGATTTTGCATAATAGGTGACCTTTAAATCACTAAAGGATGGAGTCTACAGAGGATGAATGGTACGATCCGAGCTACCTGAGTGTAGTGAGTACACACGGGGCCGGAGCATCTGAAGGGGCAGTAGGGGTCGCACTCCTGAGGGTAAGGGAAGGAGTAATCCTTCACCTCATCGTACCAGGCCTGCACGTGGAAGGTGGGGGGGCGATGCCTGGAGATATGGGGAAAAATACCTTTGATTAGAGTGTTAAAAAACCGTATACTGTCTTTTGTCTTTATCCGTCAAGACACTGGAGCTTAAAGAGTCTTCTCTTAGTCATTTTGTATGACTTTGTAGTTGTTTTGCATTCCTCCAAATTATGGGGGTTAAAAAACACCCATCTCTCCAAAACATATACGAGCAGTCCATTATCAGACAGGCAAACAAAATGGTTTCTGATCCCACCCACGTACTCCACCCAGAATTCCAGCTCCTACCTTCTGGTAGAATATTCAGCGTTCCCAAGAGCAGGCTGAACCGCTATGAACACTCATTCCTACCTGTCCATTAAGCTTCTTAACATTCACATTAAATGAAATGTAGTCAAATGTAATGAAATGTACTTTTTAAATGTTGGCCATGAGGGTAGTGCAATAGGTGGCCATTGTCAGTATGTGCGTCTGTGTATTGTGTTCGTTCAAACGGTGTATGACTGATGATATGTGTATGTCTCTTAATGTCTACTATGCTTGTATATGTACATGTATGCGGAACTGCAGGACGGAGTCCAGAACACATGTCCTTACGGGGACAATAAAGTATATTGTATCGTATCGTATATGCTCCCCCTTGGCAAAAGTCATTCGTCGCCACAACCTTCGATTTCACTGCTACTGTACACCGATGACATCCAACTTTATATCTCAACAAAAACCCTCACCCCCACAGCACACTCCACTCTCACCAACTGTCTCTCAGAAATAAAAGCATGGATGCAAACAAACTATCTCCAACTGAACAGCGCCAAATCAGACATCATCATCATCATCATCATCATCGGCCCCCCATCATCATCATCATCGGCTCCCCATCCCCTACCAAAGACATCCAGAATGTCACCATTGACAGCCACACTCTATCTCCCCCCTCACATCCGCAACCTTGGAGTCATCTTCGACAGTCAGCTCAAATTCAACCACCACATCAATCACATCACCAGGACCGCCTTTTTCCACCTCAAAAACATTGCCCGTCTCCGCCCATCACTCTCCTCCTCTGCTGCTGAGACCCTGACTCATGCATTCATCACTTCACGACTCCACTACTGCAATAGCATCCTCTACGGCATCCCATCCAACCTCCTCAATAAATTCCAACGTATCCAGAACTCTGCTGCCCGCCTCCTCACCCACCCGCTCCCGAGACCACATCACTCCCGTCCTCCAGAACCTCCGCTGGCTCCCCATCCGTCAAAGAATCAACTTCAAAGTAGGGCTGGGCGATTTTTTCGGTTTTCACGATTAATCGCATTTTTACTTTCCTACGGTTTGTGAAATGGCTAAACCGAAAAACCGCGATTTTTTTTTGGATCTGTAATCAAAAAGCTCCTCAAAAAACACTATCGAAGCAGTTCCTGCCGTTGCTACGTTAGTTCAAACAGTAACAACGCACTATTTTTCTTAGCGGATGCATGTCAATTTAAATCAATACAAAACTATTTTTTAAATCAATAAAATCATTTTCTAAATCCATAAAAGCATTTCAATTAATATTGGGAGTCATGTCGTTACTTTGCTGAGAATTTGGCCATGTAATAAGCGGGATAATGTGCACATTGCACATTGCATAATGTGCCTTCATGCCGATCCCTCCGCAAAAAAACGTCTCGTTCGCGGGCGAGAGCCGGCTCCCGTCGTTCGCGACCGACACATCACTACGACAGACGTAGCATAAAAATGTCCACGAACACAGATGAAGAAGAACTCATTCCTAAAAAAGGTACCACTTCAGTAAGTTCAGTTGTATGGAAGTGGTTCGGGTACAAGCAGTCAGACATAGAACAAACAACTGTTCTGTGTAAGGTCTGTAGAAAGACGATCGCTGCAAAACATGGGAACTCAACCAACTTATTCCAGCACCTGCGACAGAGACATGCAGTGGTGGAAGCTACATGAAGCTAACTTCCCAAGACTGAGTTATCTGGCCAAGAAATATCTCTCCATTCCTGCCACAAGTGCCCCTTCGGAGAGGGTTTTCAGTACGGGGGGTAATATTGTAACATGCCAAAGAGCATGCCTCAAGCCAGAGGCAGTAGACAGGCTTGTCTTCCTCGCGAAAAACCTGTAGAAAACTTCCTAGAAAGTTAAAGGGATGTTATTTTGTTTGAGGGTATTTTTTTATTATCATTATTTGTTGTATTTGTATCATTCAACATGATGATATTTTTAAATGATGAAACCAGTCTGAAGTGATTTTTTTGTTTGATGCCAACAGCAAGACTAACCTGGAATTCATGCGTTGCAATTATTCTAATGGTTAACTTCCTGCAAGCTATAACAAACCCCAATATTACCTTTCCTGAAATCAACATCCTGTAACCTGATTTATTTTGGACATGTTTTTCTATTTCACTATTATATTAAAAACATATAACAATATATATTTTATTTTTTTAAATGTTTAACTGATGACCTATAGCCTTTATATTTTGTATTGGAACATAACAAAAACATATTTCATAAAACAGTTTTACATTTTCAAAGATATATGAGGCTTTATACTTTCTTTTAATTTTCTTTGAGATATGATTTGTTGAAATGATTGACAAAAGTGTATAATGTATATTTTTCTCACATAACTAAATATGCAACCCAAATTATTCTGGACAGTGATATTTAATAGGTTTTCTTTCCATGCAGGTGCATTTGGAAATAATAGAAATGTTGAAATTGAAATGAAACCAGATGCAGTCAACATTTCTAACATCAGATTCAGTATTGGCATTTTTTTCATCCATGAACCTTTGTTGGAAATGTGGATGATCCCAAAATAAAATGTCAAGTCCTCGCATCTTTACTCCAACCATCTGTTTTATTCTTCTTTTTACTCGCCATACTTAACTCACCACATCCAGGAGGATCCATATCATTTCAGAAAAAAATCGAGGTTTAAATCGAAAATCGTCCATTAGTTAGAAAAAATCGAGGTTTTATTTTTAGGCCAAATCGCCCAGCCCTACTTCAAAGTCCTCCTGATTACTCACAAAGCCCTCAACAATCAGCCCCCCCCCCTACCTCACATACCTGCTGCACCACCACACCCCTTCCCTCTACCTCACAGACCTGCTACACCACCACACCCCTTTCCCTGCCTCACAGACCTGCTGCACCACCACACCCCTTCCCTCTACCTCACAGACCTGCTACACCACCACACCCCTTTCCCTACCTCACAGACCTGCTGCACCACCACGCCCCTTCCCCCCACCTCACAGACCTGCTGCACCACCACGCCCCTTCCCCCTACCTCACAGACCTGCTGCACCACCACACCCCTTCCCTCTACCTCACAGACCTGCTGCACCACCACACCCCTTCCCCCCACCTCACAGACCTGCTGCACCACCACACCCCTTCCCCCTACCTCACAGACCTGCTGCACCACCACACCCCTTCCCCCCACCTCACAGACCTGCTGCACCACCACACCCCTTCCCCCTACCTCACAGACCTGCTGCACCACCACACCCCTTCCCCCCACCTCACAGACCTGCTGCACCACCACACCCCTTCCCCCTACCTCACAGACCTGCTGCACCACCACGCCCCTTCCCGCTGCCTCCGCTCATCAGAAGCCAACCTCCTATCCATCCCCACCCGCATCAATCACCGGACCTGGGGGGACAGAGCCTTCTCCGTCGCTGCCCCCTCCCTCTGGAACTCACTCCCCCAACCCATCAGAGACTGCACTGACCTCACCACCTTCAAAACACTCACCTCTTCAATCTGGCTTTTAATGTGTGATTGTTTTAGTATTGCTTGATTTTAATTGGACTTTAACTATATTTATTTGTTGTTCTTTTCTTTTCACTATATCTGTAAAGCGTCTTTGAGCACCTGTAAAAGCGCTAACAAAATAAATATATTATTATTCTCATTTACACTGTCTTTGCGGTCAGGTTGCATCTCTATTCATTGTGGGTCACCATGTGGTCATTTTGTCTCTAATGTGTGTCCTTTTGTTGTGCTTGTTTTTCATCTCTGAGATTGTTATGCATCTATAATAAGTCGTTTTGTGTGTCTTTTTGATTGCTTTCTTCATTTTTTTGTAATTTTGCATCTCTTTGTGGTCATTTTGTGTCTCCTCGAAGTCATCTTGGGTTTTTGAATTACCTAGCGTCTCTTTTTAAGAACCTACTGTATACCCATTTAGCTTCTTAGTGCAAAACAGAGCAACTCTTGGAAAAGATTCATGTGAATTGTAATCAACTATTTATAAAAATGTTCTTCAAAATGTGTACCAATAAGAGATAACATACAGTATGCAGGTTATACCTTCAAAATATGGCAGGGTGACTCTAAAAAGATGAATTAATGTACACTACACTCATGCAGCATATGTAGCTACCATCTGCAATTAGCCCCCGTTGTTAATGTACACATGTCTGCTGGCAGTCGAACAGCTCCTCTGAATAAATTGCAGGAACAAAGCCGTGACTCTGATCCGGCTCCAGGTGCCGCTTGCTAATCTGATTATACCGGAGCACGCATCTCGAGTGTGAGGAGGAGATGGGATTAGATGTGGAACAAGAGACGCTCATGTGAAGCTCTGCTGTGTTCAGACGCTCTGGGGGGAGCGAGTGAACACATGAACACACACATGAACACACACATGAACACACACATGAACACACACATGAACACATATGAAGCAGATTTATATTAATTAGTGTTGGTTGTTGTTCATTAATGCATGCAAACAATAGGCTACATAAGTGCTGATCCTATCCATGTACAATAAAGTCATTCCTACACCAAACAAACCCAAGGTTACAAGCACACATTTGCTGACTTAGAATATGTGTTGTTCATGTTTTATTTGCTTTTAAATTAGTGTTTTTAAATGACATTTGATTTTTCTGCTGCAATATTTGTCAATGTTCTGAATGTCTTTCATTTTTGTAAAGCACTTTGAATGGCCTTGTGTTGAAAGGTGCTATATAAATCAACTTGCCTTGCTTTATAAGAGCCTAAATGTTCTCAGCGAGGCAGTTTTTACCCCAAACTTCGATGAAATATACTGTTAATAATAGTTACCTGCTTGTTGGGACATATTAAGGTCTTTAAAATGTGTTGTTTAGATGTCTGTCCATGGACCTATATCTTCCAGGAACACGTGTTTATGTTAATGCATGCAAACTAGATTCCTAGAACACACATCCCAAGGTTACAAACACACATATTGTGGGGGAAACTTCTGAAGCAATTGGAAACAGGACTCAGAGAGGCACGAGGAGAGCTGGAGCTTTGATGGCAAACACTGACGGTTTATTTGGAGCTTCGGCCGGAGAAGACATGTGGTGCGTCACGAGTTGCCAAACCAATTCTGAAGAACTCTTTCTGCAGCTCGAGGTTTTAACTAGTTCAGAGTGTAATAATCAACATTCTTCATCAGTGAGACTAAACATTATGGACCCTGAATCTATAGAGCTCTCGTCCATAGGAAAGAACGTGCGTCAGGGAACCTTCGTCCCTGAACCGTAACCTACCTCATGGCGGCTTGTGCTCGGTCACAGACTGGCAACAACAATGCGCCCAAGCTGCCCCTCCTTAAGAGAGATAGCAGCAATACCCAAGCTGCCCCTCCTTAAGAGAGATAGCAGCAATACCCAAGCTGCTCCTCCTTAAGAGAGATAGCAGCAATACCCAAGCTGCCTCCTCCTTAAGAGAGATAGCAGCAATACCCAAGCTGCCCCTCCTGAAGAGAGATAGCAGCAATACCCAAGCTGCCCCTCCTGAAGAGAGATAGCAGCAATACCCAAGGCCGTAGAAAGGAGACAGTGAGAGGAGAACATTATGAACTGTGTCGAAGGTTGAAACAAATGATTCCCTAACACATATGCTGACTTTAAAGACCCTAAATCTTCTCAGAAAGGCAGTTTTTAGCCCCAACCTTCGATGAAATATAGTGTTAATCACAGGTTACCTTCCCCAGTGAGCTCCCAGGTTCTGTCCGATCTGCGGCAGGAGACTCGCGGGTCCGTGTTCCCAAAGACAGGTCTCAGCCCACTCCTCCGCTGTACGCTCCAACTCTGTGTCCCACAACTGAAACATAGAGGATATATACATGTTTGAATTGAGAAGAAAGTGTAAGCAGGAGTACAGACTTCTTTGGGGTGGAAATCATGCTTCTCTTTTTCATAGAAGACAAACAGAACAGCCAACAAGAAGTAATAAAGAAAAAGCATAGCATGACAGGATACTTAATGACATACATAGTCATAGTGGAAAGAACATACAGAATAGTATATAGAATACAAATAAATCAACTTAAAGGGTGCAAATGAGGATGCAGACACAATATGAAGCTTCTTTCTGCCTTATAGTTGCTAAGAAAGGGAAATCAGAAAAGCTGCTTGAATTGCTCATAAAGGACCTGGTCTGCAGATAATTCACTGCTAACAGCTGTCAGTGATGTGAGGAGACATCCAAACACATGAGAAAAGGATTACATATCATATTTCATGATAAGTAATAGAGCTGCTATGGCTAAGTAAGTGCACTAATCTGTAACGGCAGTGTGTTGATGTGCCGCCGCTGCTGCTGCTGTATAAAAGCTTTTTCACTCCTCACTGCAGATCAGCTGATTTTCACCAGATGGGTTTTCCCGTAGGATGGGTGGGTGTTATTCAAAAAATGTCTTAAGTAATACCTTCCATATGTCTCTGGTGAGATGTCTGGGTGCACGCTTTCGTTTCACTTCTCTCCGAGTTGCCCTCTCAGTGAGGTTTGGCTCTGGTTGGACACTCAGGGATCATATTCCCGTTCTGGGGTTTTCTGGGAATGCAAAGACTGTCCTTCCTCCCTGCTGACCTACATTCTACCATTAACAAAACAGTTAGAATAACACCAGCTGTAATCCCTCTGAAGGACACTGTGTGTTGCTTTAATTGCACACCTTCACTTTCACCTTCAGTGTGGCAAAACAGCTTGTCTACGGGAATGAGTTTACGCATTTACGTGTGTGTGCGTGTGCGTGTGCGTGTGTGCGTGTGCGTGTGTGTGTGTGTGTGTGTGTGTGTGTGTGTGTGTGTGTGTGTGTGTGTGTGTGTGTGTGTGTGGTGTGTGTGTGTGTGGAGGTGTCAGGAGTTTGCACATTTCACACATCGAGCCCTGGAAGTCATAGCTTACCCTGAGTGAAATCTCATCCAATAACAGACACTAAAATAACTCCCCTAACAGAAACCACTGCTGTTCTCTGCATTACTCCCGAAACACACACCCAACAACAGGATGTCTGGCAAATTAACTCTTGACTCTCTTCCTAGGAATCCGGCGAGCTGTTGAAAGGATATATTTGTTTAAATCAACAACACCAAGGTAATATTGCCTGTGTCTTCTCCGTGATTGCAATGTCAGATTTCGACACAAAGCCTTGCAGAAATGTTACACAAGTGGCGTGTAGAATAAATAAACAGCTGGAGGTGAGGAGTATATTTTTCATTTGGCTGTACACGTGCAAAGAGGAGTTACAGAAACCTTTTCTGCCCTCGCCTGGGGTCTGTCTTGCACAACGAGGCCAAATGATGACTGACAGACCGGGGGCTAAAACAGGAAGGAGAATTTGTTTATCTGAAACTCTATCGCTGCTCAGAAATTACCTCTGTTGGCCATGGGCTGCAAATAAATGCCAGTATTGTCGTCTAGTTATCTCTCCTTGCTACTACAATGCAGAATCACTGAAGGGATTTAAGGCCATCAGATGTGGAAAGAAGCACAAAGGAGCTGTTCAATTACAACCTTCAGTTCCATCTACGTAATTTCCCCGCTCGATTTTCTCGACAAGTGACCTCCGAGCACGAAGAATAATCAATGTTTTCACTGATAAGCAGAGTGAAACACATTGTGGCAACTGTAGGAGGATCTGCAGACCACAGCACATCGGGGTTATCCACCGCTAATGAATGGTTATGGGTCTGAAAACATTTATCTGTGGCTACAAATACCGTTAAATACACGCAGCACTCAAACTCATTCCCTGGTCCTGAACCCTGCAGAGGAAGCAGCTCGGAAAGTGTCGAGCGGCACATATTTCTCAGCTGTTGAATCTGGTGCAGGCGGCTTGTCAAGCTGGTCTTGTTTGCACTGTTATCCCAGCAGGGGGGGCCTCGTAACCCAGCGAACCCCCCCCCCCCCCCCCCCCCCAAATCCACCCTGACCACACTTCTGCTCAGGGCCCGTAAAGAAAAACACCTCCTCTGCTAAAGTCTTTTAACACGGTGCACGCAGCATTGTGCATTTCGCTTAACACCTCATTTGCAGCCAGGTTTTTGGGGCTTTTTTTTCTGTTCCTTGCAGGTTGCATTCCTACGAGTACAGATGTCTACTTCGTTTGGGTTTCCCGCTCATAAAAAAAAAGCAAGGGGGAAGATAAGGGAACTGGATGGACTGAAGGCCGAGAATAAGATAAGAAAGGGGAGAAAAAAGTTAGAAAAGTGATCAAAAAATGATATTCTATTCCGTCACAACTACTGTCATTCCAGAGACTTCCATGCAGCACATTCCTGCCAACATCAACTCACATCAGAGGTCCTGTGGTCGACTATTGTCTGAATTCTGTCAACTAGAAACCTCCATTATCTCTCATTAGCATGTTATACCGGGAACAGTTTCACCACAACAGCATGGCCAATTATTCCCACCTCACACAGGAAGCTGTTCCACTTAACGCGCACCATAAGGTTTGAATATAAGGTTTGAATATCAGATTTACACAGGTGAATGGGTGGGTCTGGGGGCATTAAGCGTTTACAGATATCGCTGGAATTTGCTAATTTGATCTACATGTGTTTTGCATCGCTGCTACGTTTTACAACCATGAAGCTGAAGCTTTTCCTGGAAGGTCGTTCTTTATAAAATGCATTTAGAGCAGGAGCTGCGTTTACATTCTTAGCATTGTGGGCTCTGGACTCCCACAAGGAGACGCCTTGTTGCCCGTGCTGTTTGTGATATTGGTGGACAGGATACAGAGTGCAGCTTTGTGACATTACGGTGGCATCTTTGCTATTTCGGGACCGTCCTTTTGGCTTCGCTGGAGCGCGACCTTGGATGTGGAGCTCCAGTATTTGGGAGGACCTACTTCTTTATGGTATTCAGCTGCTGCTCTTTAGAGAAGCAGTCGAGGTGTGTTGGATGCCTCTTGGGAACTTTTTCTGTGCGTCACAAGCTGACCAGAATTGAGAAAAGTCAAGACACACGAGCTCTGAGGTAGTCCAGAAAACATTTCAGGGATTTAAGACGTTTGGACAGCTCAGTCTTTTCCCACAGGACTTTGTATTTAATAATCTAAATGTTTATCTTTAAGGAGAAAGTGACAGCTCACCCCAAAATCAAAACCACATTTTCCCTCTTACCTGTTTAAAAATCTAGATATCTGCCATAGAGATGTCTGCCTTTCCTCTTATGTAATGAAACCAGATTGCAATGTGGCTTTCCAGAAATCCAGTTAATCGAGTTAATCCAAGAGTGTTTATCTTTCCAAAAGCACCGCAACTTTCAAAACAATCCTGATCGATACACATTACTACCTGTAAGAGGGAAAATATGTACTTTTATTTAGGAGTCTTCTACGTTGATGTACTGCTAATTCACATTACCATGATTAAACATTTTGGCAAAGTGACTTCAGGGCTTATTTATTAGTCTGAGACCTTAATTATTGTCTGATTGGACAGCCACATTATCCAACGGTAAATTAAAATGCCCGGCGCTTGCAGCACGACTCCGACTCGTCAGCAGAAAACTGTCGATAAAGCTTTATCTCAAAGCGCTGACGTCACCGCCGCCTCGACACGGCCAAGTCAAACATCAAGGCAGGGGGGGGGGGGAGCCTTCAAACACTGACACCTGTCTGTTTATACCTGAGGGTCAACATGTGACCACCACAGAGCTGCATTGAAGCTGTGGATCGCTGCAGAGTGTGAACGCTTATCCAGGGAATTCTTTGGGCCTCTGTGTTGGAAAATGACAGAATGGGAACGGAGCCATGGGGATAAGAGGGAGGGAGGGAGGGCGGGGAAGAAAAGGAAACCGATGAAGAGCAGGAGGATTTGAATTGATGTTATCTCCGAGTCTCTCTGATGATTGCCACGGAGGGTCAGCCGGGTTATGCTTTAATACAAAGGCGGACAATAAAAGAGCTGATTGGCAAAGGCTGTGTGTGTGTGTGTGTGTGTGTGTGTGTGTGTGTGTGTGTGTGTGTGTGTGTGTGTGTGTGTGTGTGTGTGTGTGTGTGTGTGTGTGTGTGTGTGTGTGTGTGTGTGTGTGTGTGTGTGTGTGTGTGTGTGTGTTGCTGTGTGTGTGTGTGTGTGTGGGGAGAGCAGGGGTGCATGTCTCTGCAGTCTTCCAGTACAGTGACTCTGTGAGGGGTTTGAAAGGTGACAGCAGTTCAACAGAAAGACTAAAAGAAAGGAAAATCTGAGAAATATGGAGCACCCTTTCAAAATAAAGGACTGAGCAAACACTTTACAAGCCACCTTCACAGGATATTTCCATTAAAGCTGCAAGAAGATGACAACTTCCACTCTTTCCACACCTCCTCCGCCTCTTTTTTCCAAATGTTTTAACACTTTTTAAAAGAAACATCCCTCCACCTGTCTCTCCTCATTTGAACACCTCTATTTGTATTTACCTGCTGTATTCCTCACTAGATGTCTCTCTCTTTCTCTCACCTCACGTCCTCTTGTTGCATGCCTTTTCCATATTTCACCCCTGGGTGCCCCTGCAGCTAAAAAAAAAAATAGAAAACCCAGCCAAATGTAACAGGAGACAGTAGAAAAGAGCTGCTGGCTCAGCTATTCTCCACCAGAGAGTGTTTCTCAACCAGAAGCTGGCCAGGCAGACTGCACGCACACACACACACACACACACACACACACACACACACACACACACACACACACACACACACACACCACACACACACACACACACACACACACCACACACACACACACACACACACACACACACACACACACACACACACACACACACACAACACACACACACACACACACACACACAAACACACACACACACACACACACACACACACCACACACACACACAACACACACAACACCAAACACACACACACACACACACACACACACACACACACACACACACACACACACACACACACACACACACACACCCTAACCCACACACACACAACCTCTCAATTATACAATTACACAGTCCAGCAATCGCCCCCAGCAGGAACTGTTTATTTGCCTTCGCTGTGGAATAATACTGCGTTTTGTTCTGCAGTTTTTTAAGTGGAGATGAAAGGATGATAAAAGCTCATTACTTTCTGCACACTGTATTGATTATTAACCTCCGAAGTACTGTTGGTGGCAATGCACTGTGGCGGTCAAGCAGAGTTTTTTAAGTTTGGAAAAGCTCCAGATCTTTAAAGCACCGACTCTCAGAAGGTGGTGTGTGTGTGTGTGTGTGTGTGTGTGTGTGTGTGTGTGTGTGTGTGTGTGTGTGTGTGTGTGTGTGTGTGTGTGTGTGTGTGTCCTAGCATTACTATACTTGTGGGGACCTAAATCTGTTTACACAGTCACGTGTGGGGACTCGCCTCCCTTATGGGGACAAATTGGAGGTCCCCATAAGGGGAATCATTAATTTTAGGGTGAAGACCTGGTCAGGGTTAGGGTTAGGGTAAGGTTAAGGGTAAGGATTAGGGTATGGGTAAGGGTTAGGGTTAGGGATGTGTTGGTTAAGGTTAGGATAAGTCTCCAGGAAATGCATGTAAGTCAATGTAATGTCCCCTGAAGTGATGTATACATGGTATGTGTGTGTGTGTGTGTGTGTGTGTGTGTGTGTGTGTGTGTGTGTGTGTGTGTGTGTGTGTGTGTGTGTGTGTGTGTGTGTTTAGAGGGGGGTAGACAGCTGGTAAAACAAGCCCCGGTGCCGTGCTCTGATGCTAATTGCACTGTGAAAAGTGATCTGGCGCTGTACACACACGTTATGGCCAAAGGATAAAGTCAAACAAATGTCTTAGCATGAGTTTAAAAAATGCAGCAGTAATGTGATCATTGGCAACTCGGTGGGATTCTTTTCTTCTGGCAAAACAACCAAAGTCACATGGAGTGTGTGTGTGTGTGGGGGGGGGGTCATGTGTGAAGGTGCTTAGATGTTGGCATGCTGCTTGTGTGTGAGCCAGGAGGAACGAGTGCCAGCCGGTCTGGTGACTGGGTCAGGCCGCTAAGCTATATGATCCACAAGTGTGCAAGACTCTTAGGGAGTTCAGGACGGGGTCGAAGCGTTCAATATACACACTGCATGATGTGAAAAAAGCTACGAAATTCTCAGTTGACTAACACTGATACGACAAGTGGAAAAATGTGAGTTTTTTACATAAAGAATCCTCCAAAAGCAACTATTTAAATACTGTGTTTTCCAGATATGTGCATGCTACTTGGATACAAATAAATCCGACAGAGTTTCTTGAAAGTAAGTCAGCTGGAAACAACAACAAAATCTAAGTTGACCAAGAAGAAAACTACCTAATAGGTGAAGAATCGATAGAGAGAAAGCATCCCTAAATCGATCCAATAGTCCATGTTTTAAGGAGGGTAAACCTGGAGTTTAGAACGGTTTCAAAACGTTCAAAATCTCCTACCATGTACTCCATGTTGGAAGAGGGGGGGTACACCTGGCCTCGGAGCTTGTTGTGCAGATCCAGGATCAGCTGAGCGTCGCTGTCCGTGATGGCCCTCTTTCCCCTCTGCTTGGCCTCCCAAAAGTCCCCCTCCTCGTCCAGGTACTTGTCCAGAATCGGTGCCCAGCCCGTGGAGTTGGGCAGCATCAGCATGGAGGAGGCGGTGTGCAAAAGTAAGAGCAGGGAGACGCCCCCCCTCAGAGGAGAAACATGCCTCATCCTGCAGGAAGAAGTGATGGTGGATGTGGTGAGAAGAGGAGAGGGTCTTCTTGGTCTACAGTGTGAGAGAAAAGCAGGACAAAGTGAGGATTGCAGCAGATGTTCGGTATAACATTTGCTAAAAAACATCGGTCAATATTCATCTTGGCTCGCAGAAACTTGGTTTGTGCAACAGGTGACTTCATGGAGTTCACTTTGGGACAACTGGGATACTGGGAAGAACTAGTATGCATTAGATACATCTCTATTAGATTGTACAACTAATATATAACTATTATAACCAGCTTTATTGTCATATGCACAATAGCTAGAGCTAATACAGTGCAACATACGATATACCTAAGGCTTATACTGTAAATAAATAAAATGGTGCAATAAATGCAATATAAGTTAGAAAACAGAAACTTGGTTTGTGCAACAGGTGACTTCGTGGAGTTCACTGTTCAAAACTGGGATACTGGGAATAACTAGTGTGCATTAGATACATCTCTACAAGTGTTTAACTTTCATGGAGATTTTACAACAAATACACAACTATTATAACCACTTTTCTTCTTTCTTTGGTCAATAAGATTCTCAAATGTAAAGATACACCAGCTTTATTTTCATATGCATAACAGCTACAGCTTCAATAAAGCAAAAACAATATACGTAAGAAATCAAAAGAAACAAAAACAGTGCAAGAAGAAGATACATATAGAAAAATAGCGCAAGAGAATGTTGCAAGGGAGACAATGGTGCAAATGAAATGAGAAGAAGTAAACAAAATGAATGTAAGAATAGAGAAAGATCAGATAACAAATTAATGTTAAATTAAATACTGGACAGGACGAATATATCATGTAAATTGTACATTGTAAACATGTGGCAGAAACTGATCATGCAATGCAAATACAAACTCTAAAGCAATAAAACAACATGTTAAGACTTTATATACAAATAAATAAATACTGCATCTCAGTGATGAACAGCAGCAGGATGGAGCGAATGCTCCGCTTCACATATCCTCAGTTAAAGTCCTGTTTGCATGAGCAGTGTGACAGGATCTGGAACAAAGTGCCAACTCCCAATGGAGAACGTGAAGAACAGAAAAGCATATTGAAACAGAAAAGTCGAGGTGTGATTTAATGTGGAAATAATGTACCTTTGAAAGGATTGGAATGCAGCCCGCTTCTGGAGATCGTGACAGAGATCTGGCTGAGAGGAAACTTCAGAAAGAAGAAGTAAAAGCAGTGTTCCGTCAGAGAGGTGCAGCTGAGACAGAGGAACGTGGTCTTTCACTCCGTTTGAATACAAAAAACTCAGAGTGGCTCTTCCTTCTTTCGGGATACTTGCACCAAAGTCGCTAAAGCATCACTTCTGCACATTTATCCTCATGTTGGCCCCGCCCCCTGGCCACGCCCCCTTCAAAAGCATGAACACGGCCCACTTTGCGCGTGCATGCTCGTGCGTCTGTGTGGTACAAGCAGGGACTTTTCCCCCCCCAATGTTGAACATGTAGAAAAGCCACAGACACATTATGTAATGTTCCAGAGGTTTCATGGAGGACTTATTGTTTATGATCAGTGGTGGAGGAGCAATGATGTCCTTTTAGTTGACTGTACAAATACTCTGTTACAAGGATAATGTTGAACATAAAATGTTAAGTTAAGTAAAAGTGTGTAAGAGACCGTTTAAAGGGAAACGTCAACAGTTTAATAGAAATGAAAAGGAAATGCAGCTTTGATTCAAAAAGAAGTTGTATGTTACATTATCATCATTTCAGCTGTACATTAGTTACATGTTAACATAGTGAAGGCCTTCAATGTGTCTCTAATATCTCAAGTTTAGACATAAATGTTTATCAAAATAGTTTCTATCAACCCTCAAATCATTTCAGCTCTACTTTAATATACTGTTGCAGTTTATTCTACGTCAAAACATCATATTTTACAAGTTCTGTCAATGTTTTTGGGTGCAAAGATCTTCACTAAAGCTGATAAATGTAGTAAAAGAATAGAACATATTCAAGTTGAATCAGTCCATTACTGTAGTACTAGGTCATCAATGTGTCTTTCTAGTCTTGAGTATAATAACACTGATTTGATATTTACGTCTTAATAAGATGTATGAATGGTTTATCTTCTCAGTAAAGCACCTGCTCTTTAACGTTGTTGTCACCTGTTGCTCCTTTACCTGGTTACGGGTTTATGTAAAAAATAAAAAGCTAATGTAAACCAGATCCTGTGAGGGGCCGGAGTCTAACTGTTCACAGGTGACTCCTTCAGGGGGATTAAAACACAAACCCACTCTGTGTTAATCCCCGACCCCTGGACCCTCGTCACCGTTTCCCCCGAACACCCAAACAGGCAGGATTTGGCTTTTTGTCATCTGGAGATTTTCACATGTGGAAACAGAAGCTAATCACCGGCAGGCCCCCCCGCACACACTCACTTTCCACACACACACACACACACACACACACACACACACACACACACACACACACACACACACACACACACACACACACACACACACACACACACACACACACACACACACACACACACACTTTTCTTGTGTTTTACAAACAAAATAAACCCAGTGCTTACCGGCCGCTCTGTCTCTCAGTAAACCCTCTTGTTTCCATGACTCCCTGATGTTTTCATGCCTCTTTACACAGCCCCCAACCATCAGGTGAGTCAGGGATAAATAGAGATTTGCCAGGGAAGACATGGATTGGTTGATTGTAGGGCGAAAGCATATTTAACTTATGGTGAGATATGAGATATTCTTTCTCATGCACTTGTCAATTTTGAGGGAGTGTTCGTTCTCACTAAAACGTGCAAAATACACATACAAAAAAGTAAGCACTACATAATTCTCCATTTGTGTATTACCCTTATTTACAGAATACAACATATTCAAATTACAAAGGGTCTGAGGTAAGTCTGGCCTTCACCTATAAAATGTGCCTCAGAGACACAAAAGAACAGCAATGAAATACACAACGACCAAAATACACAAATATCGCAGAGGAACAAAACTAGAAAAGACACAAATTGACCTCAAAGGGACTCGTCAGGTCTCTCAGTCAGGGATACATGGAGATCTGCCAGGGAAGACATTGATTGTAGATCGTAGGGCGAAAGTATATTTAACTTATGGTGAGATATGACAGTTTTTCTCATGCAGGTTTCTTTCTCACTTAAACATACAAAAAGCAGTTTTTTAATGACTTTGTCTATTTGTGTTTTAAGATGTATCCTAAATCCACCAAAAGCTAACATTAGATAATCTCTCTCCCCCCTCTGACATCTCTCCCCTGATCTCTCCCCCCTGCCTCCGACCTTTCTCCCCTGCCCCAAATGGTCCTGGACTCTCTAACACACACACACACACACACACACACACACACACACACACACACACACACACACACACACACACACACACACACACACACACACACACACACACACACACACACACACACACACACACACACACACACACACACACACACACAAAACCAACCTTCCTCATCCAGCACCAGTCACTTTTCTGCCATCTCCGCTAAACACTTTAACATATTATTAACATTATAAACTGTATATCCCGGTTATCTAGGCCCTTTTTGTTTGTTGTTGTTGTTTGATGTATATATGTCACACTGTAGGACCTCGAGAAACGATATTTCGATATTTCTGGATGTACAACATGTAGAATTCTTGACAATAAAGCTGACTTTGACTTTTGACTAATTTGCATATTTGGGCATTTTTAAATATAAAAGGTACTCGGGTCGGATGGTCTGCCCTTCACCTATAAAATGTCCCTTAGAGATGCAAAACAACAACAAAGAGACACACAATGACCACAAAGAGGCACAGATATACAGAGGAACACTAAACAACTAGAAAAAGGCACAATGTGAAAACAAAAAACGAGGCTAAACAACTATAAAGATTACCCATATGACAAACAATCATACATTCAAACATATACGACAAAGATGAATCCAGGAAACATTCAAAACGACTATGTTTCAGAGGAGGATAATGCAGGTTTTTACTGTAATTCTTTCACACACAGTGACGTCACGAGCTACCCACAATGCAACACGCGCCATATATATATATAAATACGCCATTTTCATGGAGGTGCAAATATCCTGGAGGTGCAAATATAAACAGCTAGCTAACGTTGCCAGGCAGAGCGCACTAGGTTTTATTTCTGAATTAACGACCGAAGAAATCGCTGCATGTCTTCGGATTACATCTCTGGACTTGAGGGTGTGCTCTAGGTCGTTACCAGCGTAAACTAGAGCTGTGTGGGTTGTCGGATTGCCCTTACAGACTGCGTCGATTTTGGCAGCATCTACGTCTATCTTCTGGAAACACCAGGTGAATACCCCACTTGTCACAATAATATTATCATGCCATTGCATATATGTGGTATTTTAGAGTTGACTAGATATTGATTAAGGCAATAGACTATGATATTCAGTACAGGAAGCTTAGCAACACCTAGACGGTGTACGGCTAAACCCTCGGCCTGCTTGCACCTCGCGTAAAATGGCGGATACCGGAAGTACGGTGTCGCCCTTGGCCCAATACCCGTATGTGTGTGTGAAAGTATGGAACATAAAATGTAGTACTTCAAAATGTAGGTAAAGCACTTTATTGCATCCCACTACTGCCTTTACATAAGATGCATTCAGCAAAAAGGATGTATATAAAACTGATGATGCAAAAATGCAAAAAGTGCTTTCTCAGAATAACCAACATGGAGGAACGGTGGATCCAGGAAGCACTTAAAACTCCTGTAAAAACCACATAGCATTATGGTACAGATAAATTACAAACCCCTCAAACTGCATGTGATGAATATGAGTGAGAGATGTTGGGATGTCTCTTCCCGGACCCTCTTCTGTATCTGATACAACTGCTCTCACATTAAAGACCCACCACATGCTGAACTTCCATAAAACCCGGGTTTACTGTCGCCCCCCCCCCCCCCCCCTCTTCCATTACACCACGGCTGAAATAGCAACGCTGTTTAACTCCCAGGAGGGAAGCACCGCCGCGAAACACTCATTCATCTGCTATAGAATTAATGCTGCGCTACATTCAGGTGTGTGTGTGTGTGTGTGTGTGTGTGTGTGTGTGTGTGTGTGTGTGTGTGTGTGTGTGTGTGTGTGTGTGTGTGTGTGTGACAGCGAGGAAGAGTGTGTTTGACAGTGAGAGGTGAGGCAGCAAACGAGTGACAGGGTGTGTGTGTGTGTGTGTGTGTGTGTGTGTGTGTGTGTGTGTGTGTGTGTGTGTGTGTGTGTGTGTGTGTGTGTGTGTGTGTGTGTGTGTGTGTGTGTGTGTGTGTGTGTGTGTGTGTGTGTGTGTTGCCTACATAGCATAAATATAAATGAAACATGCAATCATTTTAAACGCTCAGAATAACTTGTATGGCCTCTGGATATTGGATGACTTGTACTACATGGAGTTAAGTCTGAAATACACAGAGTGACTGTGCTAACCCCGACTAAATGAAATTGTGTGGATAAAGGAAATATTTACCAACTGCTCGGAGATCTCTATGATTTACGGCGTGGTTATTTAGGTCAAGCCATCTGTAACAGACGAAACATTCTCTGATGAATGTTTATCACAATGGCTGCCAGTAAATATGCTCGATGTGAGCCTGCGGTGCAGCAGTATAAATGATTTCATGCTCGGCTGTTAGCAGCTTCAACAGATTACTGAGAGGGTTTACTGGGTACAAGCCGGGGTCAAAGGGTCACGGTTCACCTACAACATGCCTCTCAGTGACTCATTAACAATATGGAGACATGAGAGGACAATAAAAGAGACACACAAGGACTACAATGAGACAATAAATGACCAAAAAGTGTCACAAAATGATGATGAAAAGAGACACAAAACGACTACCAGACACATAAATGTACTACAAAGAGACACAAAATGATTACCCAAAACCCAAAATGACTAAAAAAACAATTACAAAATCACGGCAACAAAGGCACAAACTTACTACAAAAAGACTCAATGACTACATAGAGATGCAAAATGACCCTGAAGAAAGACAAAGTGACCACTAAGACGCAGAAAAGGACCACGAAGAGACACTAATTGACCATAAAGAGACACAAGACAACAAGAAACAGAGCGAACATAAACACAAAGAGATACAGAAGTATTATAAAGAGGCGGAAAATAACCCAAAAGAGACTCACAACGACAATACAGACACACACATGTCTCAAAAGGGAGATACAATAGTCACAAAATGACAAAACAGCAGGTTTATCTCTACCATCTCTTCT